AAAGTCCCTTTGATGTGTCTGTTTGTTGCCTGGAAATCAGTGTGAGACTTACACGTTCCACTGGGAGCTTTGGGTTAATTAAGTTTATCATTTCCACGTGGTATGATCTGTGGCCAAGGCAGGCAGCTAACATTGGCTTGATGGGAACATTTCACTGTTCTTCCACTTACTCACTATCACTTCTTTAAGTACCAGGTATTTCCAGTGGGGTTGATGAGCAAGTTTGGAAGAAACTTTGGTGGCTGAATAAAACACATACTTTACATGGATAACAGTATGTTTCCAAAGAAATCCCTTATATATGAATCCTTGTTTACGAGATAAGCTGGGCCCTAATGCATCCTTTCCTGCTACAAAGCTCTGCAAACAGGTAAAAAGCTTTATGGCATGGCCAGTCCCCTCTCTTTATCTGTGACCATCCATTGTCTCTCTGTAGCAATAGCAATGGAAGGGGCAGGAGAGATACACAGACACACTCCGAGCCCTCCAGGTGTCCGGTGTCTGATAACCCTCACCTTCCTAGGAGTCTGGCATTCTGCCTTCTCCTCTCTGGCTCTTTGAAGAGAGCTGGTGACTGCAGCCAGGGTTCAGAGCTCCCCTGCTTGGTCAAGGAGGGAGCAGAAAGAAGTTCCAGGATGTTAGAGCACAGAAATGCCCCAGGACTTGCAGCATTTATGGTGATAACAGGCAGAGAACGTGCATGCTCTCGTCAGGAGTATCATCCACTGGACAAGGCTGCAAGGAACCCCTGCAGGCTGGAACTTGCTGAATTTCCCATCCTTGAAGCTGGATTTTTCCTTTTGATCAATTCCTGTTATGGTATCATTGTTGGAATAGCCTGGAGGAACAAGCTATATATAATATATTGAATTGGAATGCAAACCCAGCAAAGGTACGAGTGAGGAGCAGCAGCAAACAACAAGTGTTGAGCTGCCTTGCTCAAGGCAGCATCAGAGAAAAAAAGCAAGACAAAAGTGGAAAAGGGAGGGGAATTTATTATCTAGGCTCAGTTCTGTCTACACAGGGAGCATGGCAGTGTGAAATGTGTCTTGTCTGAACACAGTCTCCGCTATGGTTGGCCAGTTCCAGGTGAGGTGATATCAGGTGTTAATACCCATTGGCCCCCTGGGGGGAGAGCAGGGTGGGGAACTCCTGGAAGCAGGAGGGCTGAGTCACTCCGTTCTCTCCTCCTTCAAGTAGTCAAGCAACATTTGAGATTAGATACGCAATCTGTCCTGTTGCCAAAGTGGTAAATGAATAAAGGAGGTTGCAAAAGGAACGGAAACTCATTCAAATGAAATTGTGTATGAAAGTGGGCATAAAATACACTGCAGTAAATAGGAATGAAAAAAACTTTGAAGGAGCTGCAATTTTACAGATTCTTAAGTAGTGCTGCACTGCCAGAGCTATTTGCTTGGCATTAACGATGTCTTCCCATTTCCTAGTGAATACAAAAAATATGCAACTTTTCCCAGATACAACCATCATATATTAGGAGATAACTGTTGGGAAAATTCCAAATTTGCCTCTTCTCTTTTTAAAATAAAATTGACTTTTTGACTCTCCTAAGTTTGATGAGAGTTTAAGAATCTGCAGGAGTATGTGGGGGTTGCATCATCTAGAAGAGAAATTCCCTGAAGCTTCATCTCTGAAGCTAAAATGAGTTTCCTCTCTTCAAAAGCTCTTTCTTCCCAAGTAAATATTCAAATTATAACACTCAGGGTTCTCTGGAAAACAAACTATATTGCAGAGAAAGTAATCTAATTTTTCACAAGATACTCCTAATAATTTTAAAATATCTAGAGGTTAACTGGATATCTTCAAGAACAAATCCACGCAGTTCTTGTGCAGAATGGTCTAATTATGAAGCATGGGAGAAGGGAACCACTGGAACTCTAGACCTCTGCCTGGTAGCTGATCCAGCCTTTGATATTCTTCCCATGACTGTCAAGGTCATCCAGCCTTCCTGTACTTTGTTTCCCCAGGTGTAAAATAGGGCTGATTTTTCCATAACTCACATTAACACTAAGAAGGCTGAGACTGTAGGTTTTCACTATGATCAGACTGAGGACTTGGACCGCGCACTCAGAATTCAAACCCATTCACTGTTTTCCTTCACTGCAGCCCTGCCTGTCCTGCTAGAAAAGGTCTTAGAACTAAGTCACTAACATCAAGTTCTTCAAACGTGAAGTTCTGACACCAGGACAACTGGTGCACCTGGGACAAAGTGTCAGAGAATTGAGCTCAGCTGTGAACTTTTTCGTAAGGAGCAGAGGTCCTAAGATCAAGAATACCAGGAAATGTTTTATTGATGTTAAGTAGCTTGACTCCACAATCACCAAAGTTATTCTGACTTCAGTGACTGTAAATGCCCCAAAGAAAGACTGATATGTGATTGCTCTGTGGATGTTGGCTGAAACAACACAAGGCTCGGTAACTGCAATGAGGCCTTAGACCCTCTTAGCCACAGAGTCGTGGTCAGTACAATTATAGAACAGGCTGTAATGAAGTTAGACTCCAGATAAATTCACCTCAGACCCTGCTATTCTGAAATGCACCCTTCTGAAAAACATTCAAAACTGCACTCTCATGGAGGTAAAAAATTCCATACTTTTTCTGAGACAGTTTTGAGATCTTCACTTTCACAACAGCCCATTCTGGGGAAAAAGGCTGCACAGAGATCTCCTTTTTCTGCTGGTGCTCCACACTGTCCTTGCACAGCTGCCTGCATTGAAGGTGAAATGCACCCATGAACTGCTGAGAATGAGCATGTTTTCCTCCTGCAAAGAGCCACACGTGAAGATAAAAGTCAGCCCTGAATGGAAACGAGAAGATGAGGCAGAAGAAACGCAATGCATCCCTGGAGAGGAACGTGCAACTCCAGCACGTGGGTCCAGGCGCTGACAGCCCTGCACATGGAGATGTAACTCACAGCTCTGGAATCCCTGGCTGGAATTTGCTCTGGGATATGTCACTGGCCCAGTGTGCCTGGCTGGCTGACAGCCACAGGAGAGCAGTGCCTTCTGGCAACTCAGAGCAGAGTGATGGTGCTTCAGGCAACAAAGTCCTCACCTTAGTGCTCCCGAGAGTAACAGCAGCTAAGGGGAGGTAGGACTGGATGTTTTCCAAAATATCTGGAGCAAGTAAACCTCTTAAGTCAGGCCTGCCCAGTGCTCTGGTTATAATCTGGAACTAATAGAAAGGTGTCTGTACACCAGAGTAGACATTAATAATTAATTACTGTAGTGTACGATTGCTTAGGCCAAATAAAGCTCCTAGTACTTTCTCTGCATTTTTGACTTTCTTATCTCAATCATTTCCTAATGTGAAGGGGGTAGGCCAGCACACAAAGTGTCTAGCAGCTGCAATTTGCCTGCCCTTTCAGCATTTATTATCTCCCTTAATAATAAAGAGCAGGTAGCTGTTTTCCCACCCTACTTGGCACCGAAATGGCTGTATCTTCCAGCTTCACAGATGTTAGTGTTGATGCCCCTTTTTACTGGAATTTTGCTTTTCTGTGGGTGCCAGTCCAACCAAATTTATCCTGCATGGCCTGGTAACAGCCAGTGTTTCCACAGGGCATGCAGAGGCTACAACTGCAGTAAGAAGGATCTCTTCTTTTTTGCCATTTTTACTTGGTGAAATACATCTGAATTCTTCTCAAACACAGTTTGTCTGACTAATAGCAGCATCCCACATTCAGTTCATAACTACCCATCTTAAAAATATTCTAGAAATGACATATTAACAGAAGGAAACAGACTATATTTTCTCAAGAGACAGAAATGCTAGTTTAATTTGCTAGAAATTATCAGGGAAGTTGTTTTTCATGAAATTTCAAGTTTCCTCAAGTGGATCACTAGCAGAAGACCATACTTCTGTATTCAGATCCACAAGAAAAGTGTAAGTTGTATTTAATAAAAGTGTAAGTTGTATTTTACAGTTTTTCCAGCTGAATTTGCAAAAATTAGCAAAGATCAGTTGTCATTATTTAGCTTTACATTTTACATCATTAGCTTTACATTTTCTAAAATCTTTATTCTTGGAATTTTGTGTGGGGTGTTATGTTGTGGGTTTTTGTGGGTTTTTTTTGGGGTTTTACCACAGATGAAGTTTAATGAACAGAAAAATATTAGTGTCCTCCATACAGAAAAATAAAGGAATATGGAATTTCAAAAAACCCTGCAGGCAGTGTTGAATATGAGCTCTTTATTTGTTGAGTAAGCGATCCAGTCCTGGGCCTATGTACAACTTATATAACTCATTCTATCCCCATGTCTCTGTTTACCTACCAGAAAGTTTGTACAATGTGCTTCAGACTGTAGAAGAAAAGAGGGAATTGGTGTTTTCAAAGTGTTTTGACATCCTTTGGTGCGATTAAAAACTGAAGATTTGCACACTTATTGACAAATCAGAAAATCTTGTTGCCCTTCATTACTACAATGATGAAAACCTAATGATAATGTAGCTTGCTATCAAAGGCTAAAGTCTGCAAAACTGCAGAAGTATTTTTAAAACCACTTTATAAACAACACTTCACCTAGATATTGTGTAAGATCATTCTTTGACTAAGATTTAGCACTTATTGACAAATCTAGTAAAACAGAGAGAGAGAGAAAATGCTTTTAATGTATTTGGAAGTTTATTTTTCTTAAGAATTTTTAGGTCAAAAGCATTGTACATAACCAAGAAGTGCATGGCACTGAATTCATCACTTTGGCTACACAGCTGAAAGAGGGCCAAGGAGATTACTGATACACTTCTGCACAGAGCATGTAACATCCACTGGTAACACATCCATTGGGTAGCAATCTGTGGGCACATAGCATCTCTAACATCTTCAATTGTGTTAGAGTAGTCTGTTGTATATATACAAAATCAGAAAAATATATTCCTTCTTGCTTATATACACTATAAAACATGAGAGCAAAATCTGGAATGGTTTGCAGTAACTCAAAACAGACCAGACTTTCATGATTCAGAGCTTTAGAAACACCTCCTCAGCACCGTTTGTCTTGGACCATTGTGATAAAAAAGTTGCAGAAGGAAAGCAAGCTTTCTGGACAGTATTCCTCAGCCACCTTTTTCTGGTCAATGTAATCTACATCTTCAACACAGTCTTGAGGACTGTGTTCTAGCCTTTTTTCAGTCACAGAGGCATCTGCTGGAGTCTGAACAACTTCTTGTGTGTGATGCATTGTGTTCTCTTTGCCAAGACCCACTGCTGTTAGTAGGCTTGAGTGAGTCAACCTGAGGTGAGCACTTTGTGGGCCTTTCCTACATAATTTAGATTTTAGAACACTGTTGGGGTCTTGACAAATCTGCTTCTGCTTCTTTAGGGATCGGGAGACTTGTTTCCAGTAGGATTTCTGGTTTGCTGCATACTGTGCACAGCTAGAAGGGTCTCCAGAGAATTCACACCAGAACTCACTGTCACCGTGCTTGCACTGTACGTGCACAGTGACAGCACTTGTGTCCATCACTGACCAGGTGCACTCAGCATTTTCTTTGGTTTCAAACTTGCCTTTAGGATGTTTTCCTCCTTTTGACTTCTGCTCCTTTTCATTTTCTTGGTTAGATTCCTTTGGTTTTTTCCCACCACGTTCTATGCCTTGTCTTCCCTTTTTCCTTTCCTTCTGTCTTTCACAGCTGGCTAGTAGCATCTGGGAGACCAGCATCAACACACAAAGGAGTCCAAAGCTTTTGATCCTCATGGTCTTTGTCCTGCTTGTTTTCTGCCTTCAAAGCAAACAAACAAACAAAACTATAAAAAACCTTTTCACTTAATGCTATATTACATTTGACAGTTGAAGTTTTTCAGACATGGCATTGCACTGCACTTTGGTACCTATTAAAGTGATGTTATCAGCAAAATTATCTGTCCTTTGAGTAAATAATACCTGGTTTAAATACCATTATGAATTATCCTTGTAAGAGGTTGTGGAGTAACTTTCAGTTACTTTGTTTTCTATGCAATGGGGAGCAGAAGAATCACTGCCAGGACATGCTACTGCCCAGTGACTGAGGTAACTTAATTAAAATCTTTTCTGCAGTCAGAGAAGAAATTTGGACCTTGGATTTGTCAATCTCAGATGGATATCTTAAATTATAACTATAAAGCAGTTGTTCCCACAATCTCCCATTTTGTAAAATGACTCATAAGCATTTTTAACTCCAATCGCTGGCTATTCTTCAAAAATATGCCAGACAGGATGGAAACTATTTGGTTCAAGTTGAGGAAGACTATTTTGTAGGCATCCTGAAAATCCTTGTAATTCACTGGTCATGCCAGTACTTCAAATTTGCTCTGAAAAAAAAATGGTTGTCTTTGTTGGTTATGGTTGTCTTTCCAGAGAGCAAAAAGTAACTATTGATGCATTATTTTCCACCTTGACTGCTAAACAAACAGAACTACCTTTTTGCTGTTGAAGATAACCTGCAGTGCACTGGGCTGTGCTTAAAGCCACCAAATTCCAGGGATAAATGTTCAACTTCAGTTTTGAAAAGTAGCTAGTTAGCAAATTATTACCAAGGTGATCCCTGCATCTGCAGAGAGCATGCTTGTTTCTGTAGGTACTTGCTTTTATAAAGCGGCTTTCAGGATCAAAGAGGGGTTTAAACCTGGCATTTTGATGATTAAAACCCTAAATGTATTTTTTACATGTTTCCATCATAGATGTTTCCACCATTTTTTAGATGTTTCCATCATTTCCATCATGTTTCCTCTGTAGCCAAGTTTTTGTGTTAGAAAGCAGAGATTAATGTGCAGCCAGGCTAATAAAGAATCTGTTTCAACATACTGCAAATATCTTTAGTTACACGAATTTAGAAAGTAGAATACACAGGTAGCAGCTTATACAAGCAGGCTGTACTTAGCCCTTACTCAGCTTGCTTCATGCCTCGTACTACACACAAATCTTCATTCCATGAACCCCTCTTTAGGGAACCTCGCATGGCATGCACAGCTCTGTTGCAGACACAGCAAACAATAACATTGAAATGGACAACGATTTCACAGGAACCTTCTGCTGCCGGTGAGACAGGGCAAAAGGAAGAGAACTGAAATGCATACCTTGCAGAGGGCTCGGGGACACCCAAACACAACTCCTGATGCAATTCCCCTCTTTCAGAAGAGCCGGAGCTCCTTGGGAGAGCAGCGCCGCGTTTATAAAGGCAGTGACACGCCTTCGGCTCTCCACAAAGACTGTTTCAACACAATAGGATACTTCAGGGCCATGTTCACTTACCTCTGGCACACCTCCCTGGAAAAGTGCCAGTTCTCATTCCTAGTACAGCAAAAAGCTCCTGGCTAAGGGGGTGGCAAGGTGAGCTTGCGTAATTCAGGTGTTCCTTTAGCCAAGTCCTTCCCTCCTCCTGAACAATGATAAGGGCTTTATCAGATCATGAGCTGTTCTAAAATGTCTTTTACCAGCTATTGAGGGATGCATCCTGCAATGCCCTCAGCATGTTGCACTATCATTGTGTTTAGCAGAATTTGATAATGATAATGAAAACAATTCCACAAAGCATTTCAAAGTTACCTTTTGAACTTTTTGTTACCCTGTGTCACAAAAATTGGTATTGAAGAACTTCAAACACCCAAAATAAGTAACTGTTTGAGTAGAAAGGAATACCAGAGGAGGGCCACTAAGTTTATCAGAGGGCATCTCTCCTGTGAATACAGGCTGAGGCAGGTGAGTCAGCCTGGAGAAGAGAAGGCTCCAGTGAGAATTTCCAGCAGCCTTTCAATACCTAGAGGGGGTCTACCAGAGAGCCAGAGAGGGACTTTGTACAAAGCATGTCATGATAGGACAAGGGGTGATGGTTTAAACGGAAAGAGATTAGGATTAGATAAAATATGAGGAAGGAATTTTTTTTTGTGATGAGGGTGGCAGGACACTGGATAGGTTACCCTGAGATGTTGTGGGCTTCCCATTCCTGGAAATGTTCAAGATCAGGCCGGATGGAGGTCTGAGCAAACCAGTCTAGTGAAAGATTCCCTGTCCATGGCAGGGGGCTGGAGCTAGACAGTATTTAAAGGTCCCTTCCGATCCAAACCATTCTAGGATTCTCTGGTTGTATGACTGCATTTAGGACAGTGTTCATAAGCATGAAACTCAGAAACAAATTCAAGCTCCTACTTAAATATTGAAAATATTTAAGCACTTCACCGTTCATCACTTCCAAAATTCCCTGGTTTGATGTTTTTGACAAGCAAAATAAGTTTCAATGTCAACGTCAGTTCAGCTGCTCCATTGTTGATAGGACATATCAGCCTAGTCCTACTACTTCACAAAAATGGGGGAGGACAGGCAGAGAAAAGGCTGCAGAAGTGAAAATCTGCCTTCTGCTGCTTTGGTACTCCCTCCCCGAGGTTGTGGCAAGCTGGACGTGTCAGCTCTTCCCGTCTTCAGCATCCAGAAGCTTCTGCAGAGAGTTCTGCAGTCAAGTGCTTGTTGCCATGGGCACTATCATCTTGGAGATAATCTGTATTGAGCCAGCTGGAGCTCTTGCCTGACCTGCTTAGATGATTTCAAAATCTCAGTAAACCAAGATTTACATATTTAGGTGCACAAAAAACAGCCTCAGCTTATGGAGGTTGGTGTGGCTGGACATCAGTTTTATTGCTATGCCCCCAGAATATCTTTTTGGTTTGTTTGGTTATTGTTAGATATGATCTGATGTTTTGTGGATGTCTTCTGCCTACCTGGGCATATAGTACATATTCATCCTGTACCTCAGAAATCCTTCTGGGAGCTGTGCTCTCAGGTGATCAGAACAGTCACTTCCTTCAATTTTCATCTTTAAAAGAAAGTACACAAAATTTAAGTATGAGCTCAATTTCTTAGATGCTTAATTAGCACCTAATTGCCAACAAAAAAAAAAAAAAGATGCAAAAAACCTGTTTATGATATGATTTCCAAAAAAGCATTTTTTCCTTTCTGTCATGCACATTTTCAAATACACCTTAGTTGTGCCCTTTGCTGAGCTGAAATGCTCTTTGCTTGTAAACTACATGCACAGTTTTGCCATAGAACAAACAGTGCAGACAATTCATCAAAAGGCAATTTGATCTATGCAACAAATGGCAAACCTGAACAACTAATTTGACAAGGTAAAACTTATGGAGAGCTGTTTAGTTATTAAAATAAAAAGGCCTAGGAAAAAATTGGCAACACTAGCAAATAAATGTAGCCATTGAGAATTACAAACATGGATACCCAAATCTCAGTGTAAATTCTGTATGGAAAATCTCAGTCCAGAGATACTCCTGTGCCTCTGGACTGAAACTTCAGACAGGTAATTAGCATCTATAGTTTTTCATCTGAACTCTTATTAAATCAGTAATTAAATTCTGCTGTTTAAGAAAAGAGAAGAAGAGGTTTTATCCTTATTCCTAGCTATGAGTCATTGGTGGGGAAGAAGCGTAGTATTTTCTCAGTTGGTTCTTATTACTGCTTAAATATTATCCACGTATATGTATTTTTTTATATAGGAAATCATTATAATTTATACTATTAGTTGCAGTTGTGCATTATTTGCAAACTGCAGTTTCTCATGGTGTCACCTCTGTGACATCAAGATGCTCCTGTTCATTCATAGCTTTTTCCTCACAAAATAAAAACTAAATTTTATATACAAACAGTAAAACTTTAGTTTAATTTATGAATACTAAATGGATGATTGAACTCCTTTGACCACCTAAAAATAAAATTCCATGGAATATCAGCCATTTGTGAGTCATAAGTGTGGCAACAAGATGTTTTTCTCTGTGCAAATGCTGAGGCAGAATGAATTAAAACAGACCCAGCATCGGTGATGTGAAGAGCTGCTTACATTTCAAATTAAGGTCCATCAGTACTGTCCTGCAGCATTCATGCAATTTGTGGTGTATAGGCACACACCCCATCAATATGGAATTCTTACTGTAATTAAAACAAAGTAGCCTGTTCCTGTGCTGTTCACTACCAAAATACAATGAGGCACAGGCTGTGGGTGTAATCATTCCTCTAGGAATGCCTGCTGAGAGACGGTGTGGGTTAATAACAGATGTGGCAGGCACAGCTCCACTCCCAGGGCAGGCACAGTGCACAGTGACCGTGGGCTGTGCTCTGGCACGGCATTCCCATCCCTGGGTAAACAAGCTTCAGGCAAGGAACTCCCAGCCTGATTTCCTGCCTGATGGTGTGAGTTGAGGATTAGCAAAAGGCAGTAAGCTAAGTGCCCTAAGTGCTGTAGCCCTTTCACACAGCAATAAAATATTTGTCACACAGGCAGTGACGCCTTCACCAGCTCTTCTGCATCTCGCTGCCTGTGCCCAACACTTCAGAAAAACATTCCATAGCCTACTGGCCTTTCTCTGGAAGTGGCTGTTTAATTTAAAATGTAGTGATGGTTTCAGTGCACTGAGCTCTGCTAATTAATTATTCTACATGGAGGCACAATTATTTGAAAGAAGTGGAAGCAAACTCATCAGTTAACAATTTTCAGTTACTTCTGACCTGGGATTAAATTCATATTAGTTAAATAAATATGAAAAAATGGCATAATTGAGATGCCTCTCTTCACTGCGACTTTAACACTGTCTAGTTATTTCACAAGCTGGCCAAAACTGACAACTGAATTTGGCAGAACAGCATCCAAATGAAAACTAATATCATGAAACCCAAATGAAAAGAAAAAAAACCTAATCAATTTAAACAAGTGTTAACTGTAAATTAATAACAGAATAACAGAAATCAAATGACTGCTTTATATTTTAAGCTAATTTTAAAAAGAGCCATTTACAAGATTAAATAGCGACGTTATTTTATAGCAAACTCCAGTTCATGCAGAGGTTCACATTTGCATTTAAGAACTAAATACCTCAAACATTAGTAAATTGAGTGAAAACTGCTGCATCATACAGTGGTTATCTCTAAGTGAAACTAACAGCTTAATAATTTTATCCATCATTTTTAAGTCTAGTATTACTATTTACCTTCTTCATCTATGAAGTCAGTAGTTTTTACTTGCAGTGTTTCTTTATTGATGTGATGCATTGTGTTGGCAATATTGTGATTAAAGCTCCTGACATTGGTTACCAGCAAGTCTCTGCCCAGCAGAGGTGCAGCCCCCTTGGCCCCCAGCTCCCCTGGGGCAGTCAGCAGCTGTAAATCTGTTACTGACCTGCTCCCTGAACAGCTCTCAGGGCAGCTCAGCAGGCAGAGCTCGCTCCCAGACCTGCACAGCATTGCTCTGTCTCTGTAGGCAAGCACAGCAGTGTTTTCACAAAAATACAAGTGGTTTTGACTAATTCACGCAGATCCAAGCCTGTGATGGAGCATGGTCATTAGGAATGTTTCTGAAATAGTGAGGAAATTCCTCTTGTTTAATGAGATAATACGGAGAAAAAAACTGCATATTAAACAGAGGACCCAAAATTTTGATGCTAAATGGAGTTTACAAAGGGTTTTGCCTTGGCAGGAGGAGGCCTTCTGAATTCAAACAAGGGAAATTTGAGATGTCTCCTCTCCCTTAATTTTATTGTGGAAGTATGTCAGACTGACCTTAAAGAAAGTTTGCCTTGACGTTGAAACAATTCAAAGAGGTATAAATATTTGCCATTAAATAAACATGATTATCCTCTTCTATACAGGACACTAAATGCTGATGCCATGATAGGAATGATTGTTAGTATACAAGACACAAGAGTTGGTAGTAAATATATCCAAATCTAAGCACACCCTAAGATTTTGATTGTTTCTGATAATGCTGCAGGATCACCAAACAAGAAATGGTATTTAATAGATAAAAACCCCACATCTGTTTTTTCCTCTTCTGCAGGATTTATCTTTCACAGAATACAGGGGATACATTTTATATAGAAAGAAAAAAAATCTCAGAATAAATATAACATAAAATAAGGGGCTACTAGACTGAAATGTGTTTCAAAGAGAACTTTACAATATCTGGAAGAACTTATCCTCAAAACCCGAATTTGTATATTTTCATTTACTTTTGGCTCTAATACAGTTTAATCACTTCTCTACTTTAAGCACAGCTAAAGATTCTCCAAGAACAGTCATTTCAAAGTCCTGTGGTTTTATTTGAGCAGGATAGCTGCTAGATATACTAGCATAGATTCATGATATTCAGGACATGGTCAAGTTGGTTTGGCAGCCAGGGGAAAAAGCTGTTGACTGATTGCTATCTTAGTCTGCTAAGACTTCCACAGCTTAGAGCAATGCAAGAGCCTCTCTGTCTGACCAGAAAAGATTCAGAAATACAGACAAAGGAAGGGTCTCTTATAGAGAGATAAAGTGAGTAAAATGACAAAAAGATGCCATTGTGAATTACTGACTGCCATTAGTCCACTCAGGGTAATTGCAAGTCATGTGTAACTATGAGAAGGCAGAAATGGACACATTGCATGAAATCATCAGACAGTATCACCAGAACACAAGGGATTGTCCTGCTTGCCAAAAGCCCTGAGCCTGATGCTGCAACCTCTTTCAGCTGTCATGAGCTCTCTTTAAAGCACTGCAGCAAAAAGGTACCCATATGCTTCCAGCTGAAAAGCAGAAAAAACATTTTTGCATTAAGGCAATACTTGTAGAGTTACTTCAGGAGCATGAAGGTAAGAAATGAGATTCAGCCCTCTTCTAGTTATAATCCAGCTTTTCATAAAGGTAAGATTTATTTTTCTTAGTGGGAATTTAAAATTACTTAGGTATTTATTTTAGGATTTTTCTGATGTATGCACTGGTCAGTACTGAATTACTTTGTGTAGACACAGCAGAAATACTAATTGATCCTGCCTAGGTGAAGGGAACCAAGATCAGCAAAGGAAGCAGTGAACATTTCAAATACTGACTAGTTCAGTGGTGAAATTCTTCCACTGTGTGAAGTTGTTGCAAAGTGACACAAGGATCAACATAAATGGAGTTGAAGACAGAGTAGGTACAGGCCAAGATGTGGTATAATAGAGAGACATTCTCCTCTAGCTGCTGACAGCTTTTGAGGTTGTGTCTGGTCTTCTGTAAACCACATGTGATCTGAACCTTTCACTTTCAGAAATCAAAGACACTTGGATTTCCTTTCTAGTTTTTCTCTGATGCAGTCTTGGTCAGAATACCTGGACTTTCAAAAGTCTGGTAATTTTATCAGTGATAACTCTGGTCTTTATCTACTCTCATGACCCTTTCTATAAAGCTTAAGTCTGTAAATAAATTAAGCTGTACCAATAAATATATATGAGCACATATATTACAGCATATACCATAACATAACAGAACATAAAATAACATAACATAACATGTATTGAATAATTTCTTCCTTTCTGTTATGGTCATTAATATTAGTGGTTTTATTTGTATATTTGTTGAAAAGACTGGTGCATATTCTTTGTGGAGAGAGAAGAATGGATGGTTCCACCTTGACTAAGAAACTATACTGCATAAACTCTCTTGAGTTTATCACTGCCTTTAAAATTTTAGCACTGGTTCCAAGCACAGCAAGATGTTTCTAGCACTTGCTATGGAGTAAACATTCATTTCATACACACTTTTTAAGTACAGTGGGAAAATGGAAACAGGAACCAAGAAATCGTTCCAGGAAAAGGAAACCAGGAAAGAGGAAAGGGAAACCAGGGACTTCATGGTGTAGGAGACTGTGCTGGGTCTGGCTGGGATGGATGTAGCTGTTTATAGCAGCCCATATGGTGCTGTGTTTAAATTTGTGCTAACAAC